AATAATAATAATAGACTATTTACAAGATTCCTGGTTTTTCTCTTCGTTCTATTGTAATTTTTAGCTGTTGTGCGCCTTTTTTCTTTGTTCTGTCTTGTGTAGTCAGGCCTGTTCTCTTGATTGGGAAATTTACGCAATTCTCGACGCAAACAATCATCTCCACCCACTTTTCTTTTAACATACATCATTTCGACGTCATCTTTTCAGTGTGCGTTGGAATCAGTATTTTTTTATACTTCTGGTTTCTGAGTTCCTCTCTTGTTTTGCTTCAGATGAATCCCGAATTATTATTATTATTATTATTATTATTATTATTCTATTGCTGTTATGTTTCTCTTTGTTCTTCTTTATTGCTTTTGTTTACCGTTATTTCTTTGTTCGTTTCTATTTCGTCTCTCCTTTTCCTTTCGTTCATTCGTATTTATTGTTTCACTGTTATTTATTCTTGAACCCCCACTCCTCATTTTCTTTCTTCTATTTATTATAATTTTAACTTTTATTTAACATTTTATTTTCAAAAAAAAAATTAATCGATTTTAGATTAAAGTCATATAGAAAAAAATGTGCTAAAATCTTAAATACATAAAACTTTTGTCTTTTTCGTTATTTCTGACACGAGGGCGCCATGTTTGTTTTCAGCTGAAAGCGAAAATCGAAAATAAAATAGGCAGACGAGAAAAAAAAAGGAAACCTTGTAGAGGTTAGGAGGCGTTAAATTTCATTTAATTTTATTCTCCTAAATTTTGGTAATTCCTTGCCAGCTTTATTTCCTATGTTCCAAACGTCTTCATCTGTCAGAAATCAAAATTCTACACACGAATATAAGACGAGTGACAAACCATCAAGGCGGGAAGCAAAAGACAACATTAAAAATCTTATATTTTTACAAAAAAAAAAAAAGAGTTTAATTTGGGAGAATTATGCTTTGATTATTTGAAAAATGGTTTGTGGGTGGGAGGTAAAGTTAACGATAACACCGGAGATTGCGTTGATCTTTTTAAAGCAATTTACTTTGTTAATGAAAATTACTGGACTTCATTTTTTTTTTCAAGATGGTTGAATTGTACAAAAGCGAACAACATTTTAGACGAGAATGAAATATGAAGATTATAGTAATTGAACGGTTTCTTATTGTTAATTTTTATTTTGAGGGAATCATCTCGATTCTGTACTCGTTTTAAGACAAATTTAAATTAAAGACTGCGAAGGAGAACAGAGAAAAGCAGACGAATGACCATCAGAAAGCAAGCAGACAAATTCTGACGCTTTTTTGCCGGGTCACTTGATCTCAAATGTATATTATATAAGAAGAGCTGATTTTTCTGTCCATCACACACTGTCTACATGTGACTTTGCATGCGTGTTTGTCCTTAGGACTGTGTTTCTTCGTTAGAAGCAAATGAAAGAGTACAAGCGAGTACAACAATAGCTGGACAGAAAATATGACACAAAAATCCGAAGGATATCAAAACATAAATTTTTTAAGAAATATAAAACATTTTAATATCTGTCTATATCTTTGAGATGAGGTATTATGATTACTTGAATTATTTACATTATTCAGACTGTTATCCTCATCTTCATTACCATATTCACAACGTTTCGGCCGTTGTACGCTCCGGCCTTCTTCAGGTGTTTGGATCTATGAGATGAGGTACTATGATTACTTGCATTATTTACATTATTCGGACTGTTATCCCCATATTCACTGTCATATTCACAATGTTTTGGCGGTTGTACGCTCTGGCCTTCTTCAGAATTTCGAACCGGACCCTTTATTTCATCCACCGGAGTAGACTGTTCTAGTTCCACGCGCCATACCTCTTCCGGATGTCTCAGTTATTTCTCTTTAACTCAACTCTCCAAGTTTTTTGGTTCACCATTGCTGTGGCCTGATACTGAACTCACAACTCTTTGGGTCTAGTCACTGGATCTAACCAACGTCTTTATCCACTGGTCCATGTGTCCTTAAGGAACATAGGACCAGAGCCAGTGTAATAATATCGAAGCACGAGACAGTGTAACAATATGGAAGCTGGAGCCAGTGTAATAATATGGAAGCACGAGACAGTGTAACAATATGGAAGCTGGGGCCAGTGTCATAATATGGAAGCTGGAGCCAGTGTAATAATATGGAAGCTCGAGCCAGTGTAACAATATGAAAGCTGGAGCCAATGTAAGAAAACTGAACAAAGTTAGCTTAGCAGGATGAAACATGTGGCTAATGTAAAGATGGCGCTGGAGCTCGTTGCAAGATCCAACGTGTGTGTCTGTGTAACAAGATGGAATCTAAGGGCAAGTGTAACAAAATGGAACATGAGTCCAGTATAAAAAATGAGCATAGGCTCGTTTTACAAAAATGATTCTTCACTCTGTGTAGCAGGATGTAAATTGCGGCAAGTATAAAAAAGAGATAGTGGAAACCAGCATAACAAAATCAACTCTGACGTCACTGTAAGAAGATGGAACTTTGGATTAGTCAGACAAGATGGAAACTGGGAGCAGTGTGAAAAGATTAAACCCGAGGCTAGTTTAACAAGATTGTACCTGTGGCCAGTGTAGCCAGATGTAATCTGAAGCCAATATAACAAAATGACATTTGAGGATAGTGTAACAAAATGTAACTTGGGGCCTGTGTAACAAGATGTAACCTGGGGCCAGTGTAAGAAAACACCCCCTCAGTCATCATTGTGGTCAATTAAATCACTCAGAATAAAGAAAATACGTCCGTGAGCTGGGTTTGTATAGGATCTCAATATTTTTTCGTTAAAATCTTTTCGCGGGCCGAACCCGTCGATTGTATCTGACTTCTTTTTTCGGCTTATCAACTTTTTTCAAATTAATTAAGACCAGAAAATATTTTTAGATTCTAAGAATTTTTTATTTATTTATTTATGCGATAATGATTTACAGATACAATTCCTGCTATTTAATCCATAGCTGTTGGGGAGAGAGGTGGATCCATAGCTTTCCCAAAGGTATTTCCGCGTAAAAGAATATAACGAATCTGATTTCCAATAGTCAGCCATAATCCATTACACCACCCGCACATCCAAGCTTACAGCACCTGTATTCTCAATCGGTTAGTCCTGGGTATAACCTGCATCAGGCAGAAATGATTCTGATCAGGAAATTAACGTTTTTGAGGGGCGTGGAAGCACCTCTTAATTATTGTTGCCCCCAGGGTCAGTTTGACCTGGGGTGGTAGCACCTGTTAGGGTCCCAGCAATGGCCAAATCGTGAACCCCAAAGCAAAAATCATAATGTTTATTTTATAGTAAAAATACCAGTAATGAACTTCTATTTCTATAAAAAAAAATACATTTTTATAGTGAAATTAATTGCAATATATTTTTATAAAAATTTAATACTAATAGTATAACTATATAGCACAATGGCAAACAGTACATTGTTATTGTAAAATGACTAATAATACAACACTAAAAAAAAGGTGTAAAAAATACATTTCTATCGTAAAATTAACAACAATACATTTTTTAAATGCCAACAATATCATCTGCAAACTAAAAACATACGTTTGTACTGAAAGTATAAAATTATGTACAAAATATAATGTAGTTGAAGACATAAGATTGCGTTAAAAATATTTAGATTTAAATAATTCATAGAGCAAGGGTTGGCCAAACTGCGGCTCGTGAGCCAGCTGTGTCTCTTTGAACTTTAACATTTGCTGCTCGTGGAAATATGTTGGCTGGGCTCCTTTTTTCGTCACATTTAATATAAACGGTAAATTCCCGTAGTTCAATTACTACACGAACAGATCGCAACATCTATCAGAGAGATAAATTTTCAATTTTTATTATTTCAATATTCCAAAATTTTATTAATTAAAAAACAAAGTAATTAATAATATCCATAACTACATGTACAAGAGTGTCGTTTTTGATAAAATGTTTAAAAAAAAAATAACCATAAATACGTACAAAATGCATATATTGTCGAAAATTCCTTTATCCACAATGTACAGTACGAAGCAAAAAATGGACACACCCATAGAAAGTCGATTTTTGTATTTTTACCAAGACAAGTAATAGAATTCGTTTATTAATGCAGGGTATTAATACAGGTGTACATATGTATATTATACAAGTCAAAAAATGATTTAGTAAAGATAACGATCCTAAGCATACGGCCTTAAAGAATAAACGTTATCTAGAGAGGAAGCCCAACGAGGGCAAATTGCAACTCTTCCAGGTGCCTAGTCACAGTCCTGAACTTAACCCAATTGAAAACTTTGGGGTGATAATGGACAAGGGTGCCTGTAATAGGAAAGTTAACACAGAAGATGAGCTTTTTCGCTAATTAAAAGGAATGTTGGAGAAATCTGACGAAGAACGTTGATTAAAGAATTTAGTCTATAGTATGCCACGAAGAATTAAGGCGGTTATTAAAGCAAAAGTTTACCCAACAAAGTACTAAGTCATTTTTATATAATGTATATATGTACACCTGTATTAATAAACGAATTCTATTACTCACTTGTCTTGGTAAGAAATAAAAAAAATCTACTTTCTATGATGCGTCCATTTTTTGCCTCATACTGTAGCTATTTGTGATATGTTATAATGCTTTTTACCTAAACAATAATAATACTGAATAATGTTTTTTAAAATGTTAAAGTATATTTAATCAAATTTTGAAAACATTTGCTATATATATATATATATATATATATATATATATATATATATATATATATATATATATGTATGTATGTGTGTGTGTGTGTGTGTGTGTCCTTTGTGATTACTGAAACCAATACAAATTAATAGTTTAAAAAACTGATTACAGGAATATTATTGTATATATATATATATATATATATATATATATTGCAAAAAAGGTCTGTATAAATTTGGTTGATGTCTTGCGGCTCACAAACATCTGATGTATGTATGTATGTGGTTCTTACCTAAAGCATGTTTGGCCACCCCAAACATAGAGGTTGATATGTTGCTAAACAAAATGAACCAACCAAACCGGTCACCCATCTAAGTACTGACGATGCTCGACGTGGCTTAACCTCGGTGATTGAATGAGAACCTGTGTTTCAACGTGATATGGCCGTAAACGACGCGGCTTCTAAGTTTTCCATTATTGTTTTATAAGAAGCAAGCAAAGTTGTGAAAATTCCACTTGAAATTATTAATATACTTTCTTTTAATCATTTGTAAAATTCGGAGTTCGATCTCGACACGAAGCAATTGATTTATCAAATTCGACTCATATGTGAATTAAATGATTTATTACTGGAACTTCTACATTCGTATGTGTATCATTTAAATTAATCCACTGTATAAAAATTCTACCATTATACAGATCTTAGTAACTTTAACTTAGTCTGGCCACAATACTAGAGCACTTGTGAAATCGAGTTAATTTCACTAAACAATGGCCTCACAGACTAACTTGGCAAAAATCGATCTAAACTAAGTACCCAAATATTTACTTATCTTTGTCTGTCACAAGGCCATATATGCGAGTCCCTGTGAGGGAGAGAACCTACTCTACAGCATCATTGATCGAGTAGAACAGATCGCTAACCACTACACACGATCAGACGGCTAAATATCGTTGTCATTAATTTGTTAGAGGAAGTTTTTCGAATCGCGGAAGTTCTTCAACCCAATTCTCGTTTCAAGGATTCTGCTTTCATTTTTTTTTTCATTGCTATCACGAAGACACTGTCATTCAGAATTCTCCTGACATATTTTTGTGGCTTCCCTGTTGACATTTTCATCGAGATTTTTTGTGTCTTCATTCCTAACACCCAGCCCAGGGTTTTGGCAGACGAGGAATGTACATTGTTACTACTGCTGTCCATTGCTGTTCTGCAAGCCAAGATGCAAGCCATCGCTTTCTGTCACCCTCCTCCCAATCTTTACCAAGTTCCGACATAAACAATTGACAGTCTCCTCTCAAACATGTGCATCTGTAATGTTACGACAGATGTCATTTTAAAGAAAGAAGAAAAAAACAGCATCCATATTAGTGGTAGTTGCAGAAGAAAGTGGATGGTGTACCGGCAATGAACGAATAAGTACGAATAACGAGTATCGATGGCAATAGCATAACGATAATAATATCTTTATTATAATGATCCTATTTCATTATGTATATGTGCAAAAACGGCACATGGTAACTCAATTTTTGTTAGCGCAATACCGTTAAAATGCTCTTAGAAAATAAAGCAATTTCTTGTCCATTTCGGTCCGACGCTTTCGAGTACGTTTTAATTAATTTAATATAAACTGACACAAAAAGGTCTTTCAAAGGGAGACAACTCCTAATCTATTAACTGCTAATTATAGATTCGTCCCTAGATTTTTCTTCCCCTAAAAATAAGACGAATAAACAGAGAAGAATATTTGGCCCGTATGCATTCCATTTCATCAGCCATAGTGACATGGTAGGAGAATACTTGACTCATCTGCACTCTTTCACTTCAACCAGAGTGACTTCTTAGTGACAATACATAAGAATAAATAAGCTTTTTTAGAATTAGCATTTGTCAATAATTATAAATCCAGTAAATACAAGAGGTTGAAATCGAACGAAGAGCACAGAATTAATGATAATTAATCATATGAGTGATTGTATACTGGTGTCTTCATTGAATGCAGTAAGATAAAAACAAGCACAACAGGGTAGCATAATTGATACACTAGGAATTGTTCAAATGACTTTGGTTCGATTATGTCTTCAAATAAGACCGGTACAAACCAGAAAAAAATTTAAATTTCAGCATGAAATGACTAAATGGGTTGATATACCGTAAAACCAAGTAAACCAACCAACAAAATGCACAAGAAAAGAAATGACATAAATGAGCAGAAACTTCTGTTTTTGTGACAGAAACCAGTTCATTGGAACGGAAGCAGCAGAAACACTTAAACAGAAGAATGTTTTCTTGTTAGGTTCGACTAGAGAGACTAGTAACCATGGTGAGAGAAGGATTCAGTGAGAATAATATTAAATGAAGACGGCATTGATCAAAACGATGATGTTGGAACTTTTGCCTCTTTCCGTTACAATCTCTATATATAAAACAGAGGATGTCTGTGTGTCTCTCTGTCTGAGTGATACCTTTTCACACTCCATCCAACCGATTTTGACCAAACTTGGCACATAAATTGTAAAATGTAAGAGATAAGGTCTTAGCGTAAAAAAATCGATAATTTTTAAAAAAATTAATAATCAATAAAGCCGGTGAAAAATCGATAAATTCAACTTTATTCCTCCGATTTCGTTCAAACTCGGTATGCAGGTTACTTACATCATGACGAGCTCAACGATACCTCATTTTTATTTCTACGCCAATGCTGTTAGCGAAAAACCGCGAAAAACGAAAAATCGATTTCAATACAAATCGATTTAAAAAAAAATTTTAAACTAAAAACTCCCTAAATTTTCAAGCAATCTAATTTAAACTTCACTCATTTATAACCAATAATAATTTGATTGTTTAACAGTCATTTAACTTGATAATCGAGTCCACCCATATAGTGAAGGCCTGCGTAAATTTTTACTGGTTTCTTTCTTATTTTTCGTTGATCTTTCAACCAATTTTCTTCAAACTTAACAATTGCTTTATAAATGTTTCTTCTTATACATCCTTGGTAGCACACTAACAAATTGAATTTCAAAACTCCAAAATAATTGTGGCATGAAGTGGATCTTCATGTGACTTTTTTAACCCCTTCATGTCCTCAGATAACTTCAATTGAATAAATACAGACTACTTCTGTTATATCAGTAACTTCATTAATTCAAAATGTTTTTAATGAAAATAACTGAAGATAGACTGGGTTACATATAAACATGATGCTGTTTTTGCTCCATTCTAATTGAACGTTTTTCTTATCGGCCAGCTGGGTAAGGCTGCTAGAGAAATATATAAAAACGTCTGTCTGAAGAGGAAGATGAAGATACCACATTATTCACTTATTTATGATATCGGTTTATATCTCGGGTAAATTTTCAGGGATGACAACAGTCATTACTTCAACAAGTATACAATGAACATTTGAACAATTTTCTAATTCCATCGATAGAAATCAGGTGATGATGAAGTGGCGTTTTTTTAGGAGGAAACTGTATCTTGCCAAGGTGCAAAGATACTTAAAGGTTTTCCTCAGGAAAGGCAAATCGATTCAATTCCATGGCCAGCAAAAAGTCTGAATTTAAAAGATAATTCATGACAAAACTTCATACGGCAAAGTTAATCTGTTAAACGTCTTACGGCCATGCATCGTTGAAACACAGACTCCTGTATGATCACCAAAGGTAAGGGACATCAAGCGTGGTCAGTGCCTAGATAGGTGAACGCTTGGAAATACCAGGTAGTATAAGCTTGGATGTGTGGGTGGTGTAATAGACAATAGCTTGAACTTGTTAATCGGAGATCCGAGTTCCAATTTCAGCTGCGTTCGTTATATTCTCTTGGACCATTGGAAAAGGTATCAATACATTTCTTATCCCCCAGTTTTTTTGTTAATTAGTAAGTTTTGGATCACTAAAACATTATTATTTCTAAAAAAAAAAATAAAAGTCTTACAATCCGAAAATATTTTGTCATCAAAGTGTTGATAAACCGTAAAAAGCAAATCAATCAATCAATCAAAGCTTCATATCTATCTATCTATCGACTTGGGTTATTCTTATCTTTCTATCTCAATTTCAACATATCTATCCGCCTTTCTGTGTGAAACCATTATCTCCGTTTGCTTTAATCATATCTTCTCTCATATTTTCTGGCTTTAAATAACCTAGAAAGGATTGATAAACCGTAAAAAACGAATCAATCAATCAATGAAACCTTCATATCTATCTATCGCCTTGGGTTATTTTTATCTATCTCGATTTCAACATATCTATCCGCCTTTCTGTTTGAAATCTATATCTCCGTCTCCTTTAATCATATCTTCTCTCATATTTTCTGGATTTAAATGACATGCAAAGGGTTGATAAGCCGTAAAAAACAAATCAATCAATTATTAATTTGTCAACCAATATTCAAGAAATTTTCAGCCAATGAGAATGGAGAATACAATGTTTCATGACTGAAGTCCATTCCTAAAGTCGGTAAAAAAAACTTTGAAGGGAGAATCAATGTATTAATTAAGATTAATTTTTCTTCTTGATTTTATTCTATTAATTCATCTGAAAAGGTTACCTCATTAGTTAAAAATAATTAAATTTAATTTGTTTTAGGTGCAATTCGTGGAGTATGAGCTATTAAGGAAAAATCGTTTTGTGCCACCAAAGATTAGCGATTCCATAATTTTCACAATAATGGTCGTATATATCGAAATAGAAAGGTGGCATTGAAAGATCTTGATCTGTCCCTTGTAGCTTTTAATAAGTTTTGTCTTTTTGTTGCTTCTCCCAAACCCTGTTTTACCATCCATTTCCACAAGCCCATTAAGTATGTTACACGCTGCTTTCATCTGTCCCCCTTAGCCTCTATCTGTCCTGTGAGTTTCAGAATTTCCAAGCTCTCCTTCCTCATTACGTTACACAGAAATTTCAACTGCTTCTTCCAGATGTTAAGTATAAGTTTCCTTTTTGCTTTCATTTTCTTTAAAACTTCGTCGTTACTCACGTGTTCGGTCCATGGTATTCTCAGCATCCCTCTGTAGAAATTTAATCTGTCTCTTCCAGATGTTAAGTATAAGGTTGCTTTTTGTTTCCATTTTCTCTAAAACATCGTCGTTATTCACATGTTCGGCCCATGGTATTCTCAGCATCCTTCTGTAGAACCAAATTTCTGTTGCTTCAAGACTCTTCTTCATCTTTGTGGAATCCAAAAACGATCGCTGAAAATAAACAGATGTTCCCAAGAGTTTCTTAAGGGAAAAGTCAATTGTCCTCCACACGCGGTTCTTTCTGTTTCGTGACACAAACACTCCTGTTTTTATTCTTTTTTTTTTTATTTTTATGCATTTTTTAAAAGCTTGACGACAATTGCTTTTCAACGGAGATTAGTGCAGACAAGAGGGACCTAGTAATGTTCCGCAAACCTGAATTACTAAACATTGTTTTACAGCCTGGAGTTGGATATACGTGTA